CCATTAAGTGTCAGTAATTCCCCATTAGATGTTCTGCAATTATCTGAACAAATTTTCAACAGCGGTGGCAATATCACCGCAGATACCTCTACTGATGTTGTAAAAGCCCTAAAAGATAAAAAAAAACTTTATTACGTTGGAACAATAAGAAAGAATAAAAAAGAAATACATCCCTGTTTTGCGAAATCTAAAGAAAAGAAGTACATTCAAGCTAATTTGTTTTTTCTAAAAACTGCACGTTAGTTTTATACGTACCAAAAAAAAGGCAAAAATGTTTTGCTTGTATCAAGTATGCACTTTGATGATGCTATAGAGTCAGACATTGGAGATGAAAAAAAACCAGATATAATCACATTTTATAATGCTACAAAATGCGGTGTTGATGCTCTGGATAAGATGTGTGGAACTTATAATTGCGCTCGCAATATAAGGAAATGGCCTATGATAGTATTTTATTCGATGCTAAATATTTCAACTATAAATAGACTAGTTGTATTTTTGGGAAGCCAGAATACTGTTCAGAACAGGAGAGAGTATTTGAAAATACTGGTGAAAGAATTAGTCAATGAAGAAGTTGTTAGGCGCATGAGTAAACCCAATTTATCGAAGGATTTGCAAATGAAACTTCAAACCTACAGACCAACTACTGAAGACGGAAAAAAAGCAAAGGTTCCCAGTAACCAAAATAAATGCAAAAGGTGCTCTACATGTCGAACAGATAAGAAAAGTAGATTGACCCAATAAGATGTGCTAAATACTTTTGTTTGGAACAGGCAGTAATGATGTGTCAGAAATGTTCAAATGAAAACCAAACTTAAATTTAGAATCGAATTAAAGTATAACTGATTTATTTTGTCATTTTATATTATGTATTTTTATGTGATATTAATTATTTGTGAACAACTGCCATATTAAAATTTTTTTTTCAACTTTATTAACATGTTTCATTGTGTGTGTTTTTAAACGGCATTTTAACCTGTGTAATAGTGACTGTAAATAATAAATTTAAAAAAAAAATAAAGAAAGAAAGGTCTGGGTGTAAAAGCCTGGATCTAAAAAGAATAAAAATAGAAGATTTAAAGTAATACAGTCAAAAGTCTTTAATCCCGACTCGTCGGGACTTCGGCGATTCCGGATTATCGATTTTTCCGGATTATAGATCATCAGTTTAAATCTGGTAAGATGGCATGCAGAAATTATAAAATTAAAAATATGAAACCGTAATTTATAAAATAATGAGCAATTATGATCTAAAGGGTATCAAAATTTACAAAGAAAGAAGCTTAATTAATATTTATTTGTTTACTTTATAAACATTTCTTTCAACGTGCGCATGCGTAAAGCATACCTTACGCATAGCCGAAATTAGAAAATTGCAACCAGAAAACTATTTGATTTGTATTCGTGATATTTATAATGACGAGGAATTTGATTTAAATCATATCAAAGACGGAGTACATCGAGATTAAATACTACATTTAGTAAGGAATTATAACCTGAATAAAATAAAAACATCTGCCCTGAAGATAACGACAGTGCTGACAGATTAACTTCCAGTTCATTACGCGCTGCGACGCCCTCCACCCCGCGCAGAGCAGCATGAAATTGATAAACAGATTTCGGAACGGTTAGATAAACATAGGATATACCTTTATCCATTTTTTGTAGCAATTCATTTTTTGTTTGATGGACATCGAAACATACTTTCGTTTTCTAGATTCTTTGGGAGCTCCAGCATCGGAAATTCTATTTGACATAATCGAAAGTTCAAGCTTACTGTTATAAAATTGCTCTTACAGTCTGAAAAAAATAATAAGCCGGATCCAATTCGAAGATTAAAGGAACAACACAATCATCAACATTAACTGAAATAGATAATTAGATAATTTTAGCTTATACCGTCCGTTATACATTAAACGCGCACGCGAAAACGTATTCTGCGCTTGCTCAGATGCATATGCGTAGTCGTAAATGTCTTGCGCGCACGTGTAAAACGCCTATGAGCATGTGTCAACATGGCGCATGCGCAGAAAGATTTTAGCTTTGAGGTGTGGATTATAGATCATTCCGGATTATGGGTGTCTGAATTAACGACTTTTGACTTTACAGATCACGAGAAAACACGTAAAACAGAGATGTATCTGACAGATACAGCGGGCCCAATGCCACAAGATTCAAGACGCGCCCGACGGAGTGTTAAAAATGTGACTGCATAATTTATTAAGAGGGGAACGAATCCCTTTAAATCTTCGTTTACTCACCAGTCAGTCAAAGTTTTATTTTCCATTCATTCCGAATCGTACGGAAACTTAAGGTTAATCTTACCACCAGCAGCCATTTTATGGTGTACAGCACAAAATAACCATCATCCAATGCAGAAATAAGCCCTAAGAAATAGTTTCCCAACAATCAAAATCACCGTAGTCATGCATTACAACCAATCATGTCATAATAGGGTTTCCAAAACATTTATCATAAAATACTCGGGTCAGCATAGATGAAACAACAACTTAGTGATAATAAAATAAAACTTGGCAAGGGTACCCTAAAATATAGACTACCCATTCAAATATATAACTAATTATTCTGTTATAAGCCTCAGCTGTGCATAAAATGTTAAGTTCAACAGTAGATTTTCTGTGGCATATCTGAAATTGGAAACATTCAAAGACTGTCAAGCGTATGTGAGATAGAACAGAGTGTGTTTTGTAGAAGAATTTTTATTTATTTGATTCCATTTTTGTGTTCAATTTGAGAATGAAGCAACATATAAACAGGAAATTTACAGGACATGTTCACTAAATAGTTCTCTAATGAATGCGGCATAGAAGGTTTCTTTACAAGACAAACATGAATTACAACAAAAAAATTGCACCCTTGGCAGAGAAATCCAGTCTTGGAGAAACAATATATCATAGATATTTTTAGGAAAAATGGGGCGGTAACATTACAAAAATGGGTTCTAAAAAGGAATATGGCCACCCCTAGCTGCAATACATTGGTGGTAGCAGCGTTCTATGCTGTCAATTAAGTTGTCGGTCAGTGAAATGGGAAGCAACGACCAGACATGGAGTAATTCTTGTTCAAAGCTCATCTAACAGCTTTGGAGGAGGACTTAAAGCAGCAACCTGTCTCCCAAGGTAGTCCCAAAAATGCTGTATCGGATTCAGTTCAGGGGTTGGATTGAGTTGGCTGTTCCATCCACTCCAAACCCTGACCCTCAAGATATTCTTTAGTTACTCGAGCTCGGTGCTGTCATGCATTGTTGTCCATCAGAAGAAATCCAGGAACAATAGCAGTGGCATATGAGTGGACATATTGATAAAGGATCTCTTCTCGATATCTCACACCAATAAAAGTTCCTCCATGCCAGCCCAAACCATTATTCCACCACCTTAGTAACTGTGTCTTTCCACAATGTGGGATTCGTTGTATCTAGTGCATTGTTCCCTCCAGATCAGCTGATGACATGAATCACTCTCCAATGTGAACCTGGACTCATCTGGAAAGAGAACAAATGCCCATTGTTGACTGGTCCAGAAGACATATTTTTTTGCCCTACATAAACAGGCACTTCTGTATCCTCGGGTCAATGGGACACAAAAAAATGGTCGCCTTGCATACAGACCTGTATTGTGCAGGTGTCTGCTCACTGTAGTAACTGAGATTCTTTGTTCCTGTTACCACTAAATGATCTGCCATGATCTGAGTCACAGTAATGTTAATCCTCCTTTATTCCGAAAGAGCTAAGTAAACAGTCTTGTGCAGATGCTGTAACTCTAGATCTGCCTGGAGCATGTCCTCTAGACACAGAATCTTTGGATTCAAACTGATTCCATAATCAAACCGCACTATGAGAGACATTGAGACATCTAGCAGCATCAGCTTTTGACATCCCCATTTCCATCTATCCAATTGCCCGCCACCTCAATGAATCGGGCAAACAACTTCTCCTGAACATTGATAGACTCTTCTGGATATTCTCCACGAAACTGTAATAACAACTAAATTTCAACACTCGTGAACAAAAATTGCAATTTTTGCATTTTTTTTTTCTCCAACTCCTTCCTGTGTAAGTATTCATTTCTATAAAATAAAAGTGGTAGCTATTGTTTTTGCATACATTTTCTTAAACTTCGTTACTGTCATGCATATGAACTGTGAATTTAAACGTTACTGGTTTATTTGTAATGGTGAGCTGTGAAAAACATGCTGTTCCCTTACTTTTGGAGGGCAGTATATTCAAAGCTAGCTAAGTAAATTTTTATTGTTGATCAATGAGAAACATTTTTGATATTTTAGGTAATCTTTCAGGTTTCAGAAGCTTAATAAAAATATCAAGAATTAAAAATAATAAAACTAAATATGTAAAAATATAAACCTTCTGAAATGAACCACTTTTGTATTATGAAACATTAAAAATATTAAATAACTTTTAACAGTTGTGTTCTTATACTGACATAAAAATGTTCCTAACCCACAGGGGAGACAGACATTTTTCACTGTTATTTATCATACAATTCTCTTTTTTTATATGTTCCATACTGAATATGCCAAAAAATAGGCTGAGTGTAGAATTCTTTTGTTTTTTCCTGTGTTTATTATGAATATGAACCAATTTTCCTCAAAGTCATCCATTAATACAACCCTTCCTTAAATTCTGCTGTGCTGCCTGGTACCTCCGTAAATTCTAAAAATTTCATCACCCGTAAATTCTACTGCCCAATGCCACTCCTAAATTCTACAAATTCAGCCATCTGCAATATAAATTAGAAGTTTGCTTTACATAATTTTATCTTGCATATATATATGTATTAATATAAAAATGGTATATGCTATTGAGGTCTTCTTTTAGTATAATGAATAATAAAGAGCAGTCTGAGTTATTTTGTTCAAAATTTTAAATTGTGTACATCTATGTAATTAAAATTTTTGAATGAAAATTGTTAACTTAATAGAAAATTTGCAGTAATTGAAAGTAACTTTTTTTATTTTAACAGGTTGGTCGCTGCTTCAGCTATAATTTGGTTAAAGAATGATAACTGCCTTGATTCAGTGCTTGGCAATTATTTTATGTATGCTATTTTTGGAGACCTTATAGGCACATCTTTCCTTTCTATAGCATTAGCTATTACAAGCAGTAGAGGCTCTGTTCTTGAAGTAAGTTTTCGTAACTAAGATATATAACCCATCCTTTATTAAATAATCTAAAAACTGTGAAAAAAAATTGTGAGCTTTAAGCTGATATGGAAATTATCATTTTTTATTAATAAAATTCCATTCTGATGTTAGTTTAAATGTGTATAAATTTGTAATCTGAATGATTTTTAAGTATAATATCTAATATAATTTTTAATATCTAAAGTAAGTACAGGGTGATCAGCAATTAAGCCCTGATTTCAAAATTAAATATCTCTACAACAAAAATCGATAGAATTATGCGGTAAACTGTACATTTATCAGCAAAACTGTAAAAATGGTGTACAAAAGTTTAGAAAATTTAGTTACGAAAATCATTTACAGATGGCGCTCTGCTCTGAAGACTCTTTCTCTGAAAGGAGTAAAAAAAATTTGTTAAAAAAATTAAGTGAAGCAGCCTTTGCAATAAAAATACATTTTTTTCAAAATGTTCACCATTCAAAACAATGAGGTGGCGTAAACGAACAATGAAATTTGACATCACGTCTTGCAATGTCTCGACAGAAATCACATGCAACACCAATCAACGATTCAAGCTCATCTAGAGTAGCAGGATTGTTTCGATAGACAGCGTCTTTCAATGCGCCCCACAAAAAGAAGTCACAAGGACTCAGATCAGGAGAATATGGAGGCCAAGCTATTCCTTGTGTCAGTAAATTGAGGATAATCTAATGCAATTATTCTATTCCCAAAGTATTCATTTAAGAAAGTGAAAAACTATTTTTTCGATGTGGTCGAGCCCCATATTGCAGGAACCAGTCAATACCTGGTCGATCCTCCAACGCTAGTTGAGTGCTGACAAATTGTTCCAGTAGTTATCGTTTCTTGTACGAAAAAGGGACCCATAATGCCTCTGGCGCATACCGCAGCCCATGCCATTAACTTTAGGTGAATGCAGTGCTTTTCCTTCACACAAATGAGGATTTTCGGTACCCCAAAATCTCCAAATTTTGTTTATTAACGATTCCATTCAAATGAAAATGTGCCTCATCTGTGAACCAGATGCAGCTCACAATAAATCTCTTGTTGTCAATCATTGTTAGAATCTGATTCGCAAAATCAACCCTTTGTTGTACAGCTTTCATGGGTATGGCCTGATGACTTTGGATTTTGTATGGAAACAGCCGTAGGCTATTTTTAAATATTTTTTGTGTGCTCGTGTACTTCAAACCTGTCTCTGATGCAATCCGCTGGATGCTTTTCCTAGGATTTTGCTGAACAAATCCAGAAACTTTGGCTGCATTTTCAGGGGTGACTATAGTTTGCTTAGGCCCAACATTCCCCGTTTGATCATCAGCCACGCTGCCAGTCCATTCGAATTTCACGAAGAGCATGCGAATGATTTTCGCATCGGATCCAACTGGAACATTGAATCGGTTTTGAAAACTGTGACATGTTGCCATAGGACTGTGTTCTAATCGGTGAAATTCTAGAACCAAAATACACGTTGTTCAATGGAATACATTATTTCACTTTCTACACTAGCATCTTTTCACTACCCAACAGTTGTACTGATCACTTTTGACTTTTAAGGACATTTTAAAGGCTATTCATAGGTCATTGCGATTAGAGCGCCATCTGTTAATGATTTTCATAACTAAGTTTTATAAACTTTTGTACACTATTTTTTCAATTTTGCTAATAAACATACAGTTTACCGCATAATTCTATCGATCTTTGTTGTAGAGATATTTAATTTTGAAATCAGGGCTTATTTGCTGATCACCCTGTATAATATCTAATGCAAGTATAATATCTAAACTACAAATTAAACTCAGCGGCACAACCAGTCCTTAGAGAGCCATGACCAGCAGTGCTCTGATATCTGCCTTCTAAACCGTTGTCTCCGGGGTGCTTGTGGATCATAGCCTGGACAAGTGGTCAGCTTGTCCCAGGGCCTCCGGTGTTTAGTCCTTAAGTGAACTTGGTACTCATTTTATTGACCCACTACAAGGATGAAAGGCTGAGTCATCCTTGCCCAGCCTGAGGATCGAATCCTGGACATGTGGTGCTGCTGTCCGGTGCACTATCCACTGCGCAACTGGGCCTAAGCATGATATCTAATGTAAATTATTTTTACATATGATGATAACCGAAAATGTTAATTGTCCATTACATTAAAAATTTTAATTAATTTTGGGAATGAAAATGTAAATATTGTAAAATGTAATATTTTCAGGTGCTTTCTGATAATCCTCACTCCCCACCAAACAATGAGTATTCAGTGACTAGTGTTTTACCCAGCCAATGAACCAAAGGCAAGAGACATTTTCACAAACAATTTCACAAACAGGACAATAAAAATCCCACAAAGAAGCAACTAGTCAATGGAATTTAAAAAACTAGAAACATTGCTAATGAATGTACCTTTTTTTCAGAAATACTTCTGTAATTTTTTTGGTGCTGTTTTTCTCCCTACCAGAAACACCAGAAAATTGCACAAATTTAGCATTGCACACCAGCTAACAATAAATAAAGCAAATGGCTATTGTAAATGAAATACAGCTATTTTCAAACTAATTTCTGATCTGTATTCTAACACACTTTGTGCAATTTTCATAAAATTCAGTTGTTAATAAAAATATTCATTAGCTGTCAAAACTACAGACTTCTGTTATGATTTATTATGAGAAAAACAATTATACGCAATACAAAAGGAAACAATAATCAGAAAAAATATGATTGAATTTCAAAAATGAAAATAAACGTGTGGACCACTATATCATGAATATATTTTGTGACTTTTTAGCAGGGTAATCAGAAAGCACCTGTTTTTGAATACAGTCATGGGTTTACTTTTGAAGAAAAAGGCATTCCATTTAAAGCTATGTAATGAATAAGCCATTGTAATTTTTATTTATTGTTGAAGCTTGAATGTAATAATGAAAGAAAAATTTACATTTAAAAAAGTTATGGCTGCAGCTTTTAAATAATATCAATCACAATCATAAGGCTGCTAATTTTGAAGCTGTGGGAAAGAATTTGACTACAGCGCATAATTTTAATAAGACTTGTGATTAATGTAAAGTACATGCCACTTGTTAAAAATCATTGGCATGTTGATTTGCAGTTTAACTGGAAATATGTTGAAATGTTATAACCTAATGTATTTTAAAACTTATTTTTGCATCAGGCATTATATAAGATTATTCTGCATACTTTCTGTTTAGTATCTTTCTCATTTTAGAGTACTAAATTTTGTGTCTTATTATTATTTAGCTATACACTGAAGTGACAATAGTCATGGGATAGCAATATGCAAATATACAGATGGCAGTAGTATTGCATAGAAAATGTATAAATGCAAAGTGCTTTGGCAATGCTTTCATTTGTGTTCAAGTTATTCATGTGAAGAGACTTTGACATGATTATGGCCACATGATGAGAATTAACAGACTTTGAACGCGGAATGGTAGTTGGAGCTAGACGCATGGGTCATTCCATTTCGGATATCATTAGGGAATTCAACATTCCGAGATCCACAGTGTCAAGAGTGTGCTGAGATCTAATTTCAGGCATAACATCCCACCATAGACAGTGCAGTGGCTGACCACCTGCACTTAACGACCGAGACCAGCGACGTCTGCGTAGAGTTGTCACAGACAAGCAACACTGCGTCAAATAACCGCAGAAATCAATGTGGGACATACGAGGGACGTGTTTGATAGGACAGTGCGGTGAAATTTGTCTTCCTGGGGCCATGCCAGCAGAAGACCGACTCAAGTGCCTTTACTGACAACACGACATCGCTTGCAGCGACTCTCGTGGGCTCGTGAGCATATCGGTTGGTCCCTAAACGAATGGAAAACCGTGGCTTGGTCAGATGAGTCACGATTTCAGTTGGTAAGAGCTGATGGTAGGGTTCGTGTGTGGCGCAGACCCCACAAAGCCATGGACCCAAGTTGTCAACAATGCTCTGTTCAAGCTGGTGGTGGTTCCATAATGGCCTGGACTGTTTTTACATGGCATGGACTCTGTCCTCTGGTGCAACTGAACTGATCATTGACTGGAAATGGATACCTTCAGCTACTTGGAGATCACTTACAGCCATTCATGGACTTCACATACTCAAACAACGATGGGATTTTTATGGATGACAATGCGTCATGTCACCGGGCCACAATTGTTCAGGATTGGTTAGAAGAACATTCTGGACAATTCCAGTGAATGAATCTGGCCACCTAGATCGCCCGACATGAATTCCATCGAACATTTATGGGACATCATCGAGAGGTCAGTTCGTGCCCAAAACCCTGCACCGTCAACACTTTCACAATTATGGACATCTATAGAGGCAGCATGGCTCAATATTCCTGCAGGAGACTTCCAACGACTTGTTGAGTCCATGCCACATTGAGTTGTTGCACTTTGCCGGGCAAAAGGAGGACCGACAAAATATTAGGAGGTATCCCATGACTTTTGTCACTTCAGTGTATAGTTTAATCGACTTATCTTTTTAATTGGGACTACATGTCTTATTAACATGTGTTTTAGTCAATGCAGTAGTTTAAATCTTATATAATCATTTTTATAATGTTTGTTTTCAGAAAGAAAAGCGAAAATTTGTAGCAAAATTGTTATACTTAAAGCTGCTTATGGTGTTTATTGATTGTGCACTAGCGTCATATGGTGTTTGGCTCTTTGTATATATGGAAAGCTTCTGTACACAAAAAGAACATTTTATTAAGGTAAAATTCTGTCAAAACATACAGTGGATGGACAAAAATATGGAAACACCTTGTGAAATGCATGTTTGAAAAGAAATATTGATTTTAATTAAATATGCAGGTGGCGCTGGCGTTTTTGACTACTGACGCCACCTATACAACTTCGTAAATGTGCTAAACAGTTCAGTTGTTGTGGGAGTACTGTTATGTGAGGTTGTCATTGCATTATGTCAGAGTTAACAGACTTCGAACGTGGGCAAATTGTTGGAGCACATATGGTAGGTGCTTCCGTAAGCAAGGTAGCCGAGGTGTTTAGTGTTTCAAGAGTACTGTATCGAAGATTTATTCCGCATATTTGAAATCCGGAAAAACATCATCTGCTAAATCACAGCGCGGACGAAAGTGTGTCCTGAGTGATCGTGAAATACGATCATTAAGGGCAATTGTGACGAAAATAAGAAGACCACAGCTGCAAAAGTTACTGGCTGAAATGAATGTTGTGTTACCGAACCCTGTGAGTACCAAACAATTAGAAGGAGCTTCATAAACAGGGAATTGCTGGCCGTGCTGCATTGAGAAGCCACTCATCAGTGATGCTAATGCCCGTAACAGGAAAAGGTGGTGTTTAAGTCATAAAGCCTGAACTATAGAGCAGTGGAAGCGAGTAATATGGTCTGACGAGTCTTCTTTCACACTGTTTCCCACTTCTGGCCGAGTTTACGTCTGGAGAACGCCATCTCAAGCCTATAATACAGACTGCTTGTTGCCAGAGAGACTGCTTGTTGCCAGTTGTTGAGTGAAACATGGCGGGGGTTCTGTTATGGTTTGGGCAGCCATATCGTGGTTCTCTGCTAGCCCCATGATAACTGTGTCAGGGCACATGACTGCCAAGACTTATGTGAACTTTTTGGCCGATCAAGTTCATCCCATGGTACAAACTTTGTTCCCCCGATGGTGATGGTGTCTTCCAAGATGACAAAGCCCCTGTTCACACAGCTCACATTGTCCAGGACTGGTTTTCTGAGCACGAGGATGAGTTGTCCCATCTCCCCTGGCCACCACAGTCACCAGACCTGAATATTATCGAACCTTTGTGGCCTACATTGGAACGGAAAGTGTGTTCTCATTATCCACCGCCAATATCGTTATCTGAACTTGCCACCGTTTTTGCAGGAAGAATGGTATAATATTCCCTTGGCAAACATACAGGAACTGTATTTATCCATTCCGAGAAGACTGCAAGCTGTTTTGGATGCCAGCGGGTTTCCTACATCATATTAAGCAAAGAAACATGTTTTTTTAAAAGTGTTTCCATATTTTTGTCCAACCCCTGTATCTAATATAGTTAATTTCTTTTATATTCTGGAATTTTTTTAAAATCATGCCATTTTCTTATTTTTATCCTGGTGAAACAGTGTCTAGAATATTAAAGCTTCATTAAAATCTTTGTACTAATAAAGTTCTTTTTATTTTGTTACATTATTTTAGCTTAAATATGTTTAAAAAATTATATTTAAATGAATTTGGTATTTTAAAGTGAGAAATTTTTATGAATAATTAATAATTGATCAGGTACATTAATCTCTAATACTGATAATTTTTACATTACATTCTATGGAAGAAAGATATTTTATGATGTATGAAGAATATTTTATTTAAATTATACTCGTATGTGCAAATTTCTAAATGTGTTTAAATATATGGAGAATTTACTATTGAATCTAGAGCATTTAATATCAAATTTTACTATGCAGCAAGCTGCCAAACAGTAACTAATGGCAATGATTTACTACAGTCAAAAGTCGTTAATTCGGACACCCATAATTCGGAATGATCTATAATCCGGACCTCAAAACTAAAAACTTTCTGCGCATCCGCCGCGTTGACACATGCGCATAGGCGTTTACGCGTGCGCGTAAGACCTTTTACGACTGTGCATATAAGTGTGCGCAAGTGCAGAATACATTTTCGCATGCGCGTTTTATGTATAATGGACGTATAAGCTAAAATTATCTAATTATCTATTTCAGTTAATGTTGATGATTGCGTTGTTCCTGAATTTTCAAATTGGATCCGGCTTATTATTTTTTGCAGATTGTAAGAGCAATTTTATAAAAGTAAGCTTAAACTTTCGATTATACCAAATAGAATTTCCGATATATATTTGTTAATATATAAAGGATCTAAAGCGAAAGTATGTTTTGAAATCCGAAATCTGTTTATCAATTTCACGCTGCTCGGCGGGGGGAACGCCGCGGCGGGCACGTAATGAATTGGAAGTTGATCTGTCAGCACTGTCCTTATCTTCAGCGCAGATGTTTTTATTTTATTTGGCTTATAATTCCTTACCAAATGTAGTATTTCATCTTGATATGCTCGGTCTTTGATATGATTTAAAACATGTTCCTCGTCATTATAATTCGCTTCCGATAGCGGAAAAGGTAACAGAGGTTATTGAAAACGAAAAAAATTTCGATTGACAAATTAGTCGGTATTCTCGACATAGCAATTATAGGACTTGAACAGCGGAACTTTGTAACTGAACAAGAAATTATGTCTGTTTAATAGAATTAAAGAGAAAGTGTTATCACATGAAACGAAGCAAAACTTAAACAACTTACATTGAAAGAAATGTTTAATAAAGTAAACAAATAAATATTAAGCTTTTTCTTTTTGCAAATTTTGATACCCTTTAGATCATAATTGTTCTTTATTTCATAAATTACGGTTTCATATTTTTAATTTTAGAATTTCTGCATGCCATCTTACGAGATTTAAAATGATCTATAATCCGGAAAAATCGATAATCCAGAATCGCCGAAGTCCCCGACGAGTCCGGATTAACGACTTTTGACTGTAACATATCTCAACATACTACCCTTAAAATACTAAGAAATTTCAATAAAGTCAACCCCCCTCCAACAATTTTGCACTGTTATGAATTTAAAAAGTAAACAGTCAAATAGGAATGAGTTTTATTTTAAAGCATATGAAAGTACAATAAAGATCTTTTAAATGCCATCAGAGATTAAGGATAAACATTCCCCATCCCTCTGAACAGTTCTGTGCTGTGTTGAAAAATTATGATGAACCCGGGGATCAAAGTTTCTATCATGAAGCAATTAAGCAACAAGTGCTTAATCATCACCTGTCACTTGAAATACGGGTCAGTCCATAAGTTCGTGCACATTAAGAGAATGTGTGGAATTCACTATGACACATTTACTAAAACAATACAATTTTGAACTGTTGAAACTTGTCATAATTTCACTAACATATTCAGTTCATCACCAACTTTCGTAAATATTGAACACATTTTAGTACCCACAGAAGATGAATATAGATAATCAGTACAAACGTACTATGCTACATTTTTTATTTTCTTGTGGTGAATCTGCCAGGTTTGCAGTCATAAATATTAATAGTGTGCATGGTGAACACGCTATTAGTGTAAGGACTGCCCAGGAATGGTTTTAAAAATTTTAAGTTGGAAAAGCAGCATTGATGATGAACCCATTCAGGAGGTTTTGAACTGTTAGAACCAAATCAAACGATTAATTCAGAAGTTAATAGTGAACAACTTTGCTGTCTAAACTCAGAATTGATCAAAAAATGCCCACGAATTGTGAATATCAAGAAAGTGTTGTTTCATCATGATAATGCTAGATCGCATATGGCTCGAACAATGCTGCAAAAAATTAGTGAATTTAATTGGAAGCTTTTGCCACATCCTGCTTACTCCCCAGATATTGCCCCAAGTGATTTTCACTTATTTCGTGCCTTACAAAATTTTTTACATTTTTTTCGTGCCTTACAAAATTTTTTTAATTAAAAAAATATTCTGAACAGGATGTACACAATGAACTTTCAAGTTTTTTTGTGTCAAAACCAGAGTCTTTCTACAGCAATGGCATAAAAAAAGCTGCCTGTAAGATGGCGAGACATTGCAGATAATGGAGAAAAATATATAATTGATTAAAATGTTAAATTGTATTTTTTTATATTATTTAAAAATTTACCAAAAAATTTTTACAAATTTATGGACTCACCCAATATAAGCAAATGTGTTGCCAATGAATTAGTTGTGCAACATCCGAAAAAAAGAAGTATTTATTTTATTACATCATTATATTTTGTGTTATGCATTGGTTACAGCGCAGAATGAAAGTTAAATTATAAAACATTCCGTGATTTAGAAAAAGAGAGTAAATAATAGTACCAATTGTTTAAACATATAACTAATGATAAACATTAGTATCTCACATATGACTGAAAGACAAAACATCAACTTAAAAATTTGCTTCATTCACAGAAACTTCAGCTCAGAAATCTTGAGTCATGTTGATAGTAATTTTGTTAGTAGGTAGTAGTGTGCAAAGAATTCTTATCTGAAGGATAGGCAGAAAATTTCCATATTCTGCAAAATAGTAATTGATTTCTGTTTTAATATATTTGAATACTATTCTGTTTTAATGCATTTGAAAACAGTTTAATGCATTAGAGGAGAAAATTGTCAGCAACATGATAATGTCATGTCATGTATGTAAACTTCACTATGCAATTTATTATTAAAAAAAATATGCACTTGGTAAATTTACATCCCCTAAATTGAAATTTTTCTTTGAACAGCATAACTTTGAGAACATTTCAAAAATTCATAGAAACATATAATAGGGAAGTTAAATGACATTCTAACAGTAACTTCTAGAAAGTACCCAAAATCTTGTAAATAGGCAAAAAAATGTATAGTATTAGAAAGAATGTGTATACAGTCAAAAGTCGTTTATCCGGACTTGTCGGGACTTCGGCAATTCCGAATTATAGATCATCAGTTTAAATCTGGTAAGATGGCATGCAGAAATTACAAAATTAAAAATATGAAACCGTAATTTATGAAATAAAGAACAATTATGATTTAAAGGGTATCAAAATTTACAAAAAGAAAAAGCTTAATATTTATTTGTTTACTTTATTAAACATTTCTTTCAATGTAAGTTGTTTAAGTTGCTTCGTTTCATGTGATAATACTTTCTCTTTAATTCTATTATTAAACAGACATAATTTTCTTGTTCAGTTACAAAGTTCCGCTGTTCAAGTCCTATAATTGCTGTGTCGAGAATACCGACTAATTTGTCAATCAAAATTTTTTCGTTTTCAATAACCTCTGATACTTTCTTCGCTATTGGAAGCGAATTATAATGACGAGGAATTTGATTTAAATCATATTAGAGACGGAGTACATAGATGAAACACTACATTTAGTAAGGAATTATAAGCCAAATGAAATAAAAACATCTGCTCTAAAGATAAGGATAGTGCTGACAGATCAACTTCCAATTCATTGCAAATGCAATCTGCAACATTAACTGAATTAGATAATTTTAGCTTAGCTTATACCGTCCGTTATACATTAAACGCGCATGTGTAAACGTTTTATGCGCATGCACACATGCATATTCGCAGCCGTAAAGGTCTACGCGCACACGTAAATGCCTATGCGCATGCGTCAACGCGATGCATGCACAGAAAGTTTGTAGCTTTGAGGTCCGGATTATAGATCATTCTGGATTATGGGTGTCCGAATTAACGACTTTTGACTGTATTGTTACAGATTTTGTATTTAAATAGCTAATGTTAGTAGTAATTTTATTTTTAATTATTAATATTTTTTAGATAATTTTAGCTTAGCTTATACCATCCGTTATACATTAAACGCGCATGCGTAAATGTTTTATGCGCATGCGCACGTGCATATTCACAGCCGTAAAGGTCTTACGCACACACGTAAATGCCCATGCGTGTGCTCGAGCATTTAGAAAGCTTATATAAGCAGCATGAAAACCTCTCAATTCCTTATTTAGTTAGTTGTTGTTTTAAGACTTTGTTTAATAAACTGCTCTTGTTGACTGTAGTGAATTCATGGATTAGCTTTCTTTAGTTGTTTTGAATTAAGTTCTGTTGAACCTTTGAGTAGTTAAAAGATAACTACTGTGAGACATTGTAATACTGTAGGAATATCTGAGGGAAATTTAAGCATTTTGTTTTATTTGTTGTGATAATAATAAATTTTTGTTCATTTTTCATCCAACTTGTGCATTCAATTCGTAACAAACCCGTACACACACAACAATATATATCTAAACACTGTTAAAGTTTTCTTCTTTAAATCTTGATTTTTTTATAAATGATTAAACTCTGATAGTACACTGTTTATATACAAGAGGGTATTGCAATGAATATTAAGTATAACTGCAAACCCTCTGACCTTATTAATCTTTTCATGGAGTTTCATGTTCAGCTCTCCATCTGTGCATTGTCATTACAATATGCTGTCAGTTTTATGTTTTTAAAAGAGAAAAGTATTTTTCACTATTTATTAATAAACATCTTTTTAAAGATAAGCAGATTACAACTTATGTGTTTTTTCATTTTGTTTCCATCCACCTTTTCAGATCACAACCATTGGCATTTGGATTTATATATTGATATTTGCAACTTGTGTGTTTATTTGCTACAGTTCTCTGGGTTCATCAAAATACTGGAAATCAGAATCTGATCTGAATGCAAATTTTTTCCAGAAAGCAGAACGTGTTTGGAAACTTCGGTAATTTAATTTTATTATTTTCAGATTTTATATGCTCTGTTTAAAATGTTTAATTTATTTCATGAAAAATGTTTTTTCACAGTTACTGGTTTCAGAGAGGATCAGAAGTTTATGAAAATTTGTAATGCAATATAAAACATTTAACATGGAGAAAAGGACATCTTTTCTCTGTGTTTAATTTCAAAGTTTGGCTTTTAAACATTTAACATTAATGTTAAAATTTAGCATCAGATGTTGATATTTTACATCTGAATGTTATTATTTAATATTTAGATATTTTACATCTGCATGTTATTATTTAATATTTAGATATTTTACATCTGAATGATATTATTTAATATTTAGATATTTTAATCTGAATGTTATTATTTAATATTTAAATGTTAAATGTTTGGCCTGAAATTTTCTTAGTAGTTTTTCTTATTCTTTCTTGTGAAACTAAATGCTCACAGAATACTTGTTAATATTACGTGAAATAAAATTTAATAAGAAAATCTTTTATGTTATTGTTTCTTCCAAGTTTCAATTGGTTCATAAACTAGTAAAATAAGTTTATGGGCAGTGTGAGCTTATAATTTTTTAAACATAAGTTTAATGATAATTTGAAAAATCGAAAAAAAAAAATCAGTCAGATTAATCTTTTGAATAAGACAGCTTTTTGTATCTGCTTATGAAAAGCTGTATTCAAACATTCTTATTAGCTAGATTTGTGTAATTGCTTGCTTTAATTTTAGTTTTCATAACATACCATTCATTAGGATGTTATTTAGATAATTAAATGAATGTTAGGATGCTATTTAGATTATTAATGAAAATAAAATATTTTAGAGAAAATTTAATATATACAGAATGACAGCAAATTTCTTGACTGGATATAACTAGTCATGCCACACACAGGGTTTTTAAAGTAGGGACTTGTTTGTCTTTGTTATTTAGATGTTAAAAAGATACCCTTCTTCTAGTATTTGTACTTGGATACAAAACGTATTGTTTAACATTCAAAAAGATAAAAACTGATCTTTGTAGTAATCTAGAAAGGAATGAAACAGAGAAGTGTAGAAAACTGAAATCAAACTACAGAATCTAATGTAAGTTCAGAAAGTACAACATGCACTATATCAGAAGGATTTTTTTACATGCATTGTATCTTTCAGATTTACTGTATTCCAAAGTAAGTCATATCTGTTGGAAAATGAATTCCAGAAAATAAGTGAGTAAATTAATTATAATGCTGTAAACAGAAAGTAGGTTACATGCATTTAAATATTTGTTATGCATTTTAGGTATTTTCTGAAAGGAGGAAAAGTCACTAATTTTCATTGACATTACAATTAAAGCTTCTGACTGAAGCTTCAGTATGGAGAATATTTATAATTTAAGTCTTCACTAACCTGAAAGTTGAAATCGCCGTTCTCAGAATGGATTTCCACCTTTTCTTGCGTGCTTTCAAAAATCTTTTTTTCTGCCCCATAAGCTTCTTGGAACTCATTTTCTCATCAGATAAGGAAAACAGTACAATCCGTTTTGAGCACCATAAAAAAATTGCAGGGAAAATGTATGCGCAAAAGTGCCAAATCTAGCAAACGCGCCCATTTAACAGCGCGCCAAATCTAGCGTACGCGCTGATTTCAGATTGCGTAAGTTTATATAGTTCTACATTTCTTAAGTTGCCATTAAAATACTAGTTTAATTTTTAAACCTTTTTTTTTTTTTTTTTTTTTGATATCCTATGGAATTGCCCATGATGAAAAGTCTGCAATAAAATTTGGAGTAAAGCGCAGAATTCCCCACCACTGCTTGACGCATTTTTAAGAATTGTACATATTCGGTATCCATGTACACATTGACCTATTTTCACTTAAAAACAATTTCTCAGAATTGCACAAAAATGGCACTGTGCACACCCTTGACTTTATTTATGTACACGTTGGCCTATTTTCATTTAAAAAGTAAAAGAAAATAGACAAAAATCCAATTGTTTTTACCCTTGTAAATCAGTGGGTGATTCTGCACGTTACCGAGAATTTTTTCAAAGAAAAGTCATCATTCATTATAGAAAATTACGTTTGAACAAACAACGAGATGAAATTATGCTTTAGTGATAACTTGGTAGCGAAATAGCGATGCAGGCATCCATTCAGTCATGTTTAGCCTTTTTTATATAAATTATAATCATAAATAAAGTATTACAGTCAAAAGTCATTAATCCGGACTCGTCGGGACTTCGGTAATTCCGGACTATCGATTTTTCCAGATTATAGATCATCAGTTTAAATCTGGTAAGATGGCATGCAGGAATTATAAAATTTAAAATATTAAACCGTAATTTATGAAATAAAGAACAATTATGATCTAAAGGGTATCAAAATTTACAAAAAAAAAAAGCTTAATATTTATTTGTTTACTTTATTAAACGTTTCTTTCAATGTAAGTTGTTTAAGTTGCTTCGTTTTATGTGATAATACTTTCTCTTTACTTTATCAGAAGCGAATTATAATGACGAGGAATTTCATTTAAATCATATCAAAGACGGAGTACATCGAGATGAAATACAGTCAAAAGTCATTAATCCGGACTCGTCGGGACTTCGGCGATTCCGGATTATAGATCATCGATTTAAATCTGGTAAGATCGCATGCAGAAATTATAAAATTAAAAATATGAAACCGTAATTTATGAAATAAAGAACAATTATGATTTAAAGGGTATCAAAATTTAAAAAAAAAAAAAAAAAAAAAGCTTAATATTTATTTGTTTACTTTATTAAACATTTCTTTCAATGTAAGTTGTTTAAGTTGCTTCGTTTTTCTATGTGATAATACATTCTCTTTAATTCTATAAACAGACATAATTTCTTGTTCAGTTACAAAGTTCCGCTGTTCAAGTCTTATAATTGCTGTGTCGACGAAAATACCGACTAATTTGTCAATAGAAATTTTTTCGTTTCCAATAACCTCTGTTACTTTCTTTGCTATCGGAAGCGAATTATAATGACGAGGAATTTGATTTAAATCATAACAAAGACGGAGTACATCGAGATGAAACACTACATTTAGTAAGGAATTATAAGCCAAATAAAATAAAAACATATGCTCTAAAAATGAGGATAGTGCTGACAGATCAACTTCCAATTCATTGCGCGCTGTCGCGTTAAAGATAAACAAAGTTTAGATAAACAAACGTTAAATTTTAGATAAACAAAGGACATGCCTTTATCCATTTTTTGCAGCAGTTCCACTTTTTGTTTAATGGACTTCGAAACATACTTTCACTTTGTAGATCCTTTACATATTAGTAAATATATATCAGAAATTCTATTTGACATAATCGAAAGTTCAAGCTTGCTTTTATAAAATTGCTCTAATAGTCTGCAAAAAATAATAAGCCGAATCCAATTCGAAGATTAAGGAACAACGCAATCTGCAAGATTAACTGAATTAGATATTTAGCTTAGCTTATACCATCCGTTATACATTAAACGCGCATTCGTAAACATATTTTGCGCAGGCGCACACTCATATTCGCAGCAGTAAAGGTCTTACGCGCATGCGTCAACCCGACTCATGCGCAGAAAGTTTGTAGCTTTGAGGTCCGGATTATAGGTCATTCCGAATTATGGTTGTCCAAATTAACGACTACATTTAGTACTAATAACTGTACTACATTTAGTAAGGAATTATAAGCCAAATAAAATAAAAACATCTGCACTGAAGATAAGGATAGTGCTGACAGATTACCTTTCAATTCATTGCGCGCCATGGCGTTTTCCCCTAGAGCTGCAGAGCAGCGTGAAATTGATAAACAGATTTCGGAATGGTTTGAGAAACGAAGGATATGCCTTTATCCAATTTTTGCAGCAATTCCACTTTTGTTTAATGGACTTCTAAACCATACTTTCACTTTGTAGATCCTTTACATATTAGTAAATATATATCGGAAATTCTATTTGACGTAATCGAAAGTTCAAGCTTACTTTTATAAAATTGCTCTAACAGTCTGCAAAAAATAATAAGCCGGATCCAATTCAAAGATTAAGGAACAACACAATCTGCAACATTAACTGAATTAGATAATTTTAGCTTATACCGTCCATTATACATTAAACGTGCAAGCGTGAATGTATTATGCGCACACGCATATTCACAGCCGTAAAAGTCGCAGAAAGTTTGTAGCTTTGAGGTCCGGATTATAGATCATTCCGGATTATGGGTGTCCGAATTAACGACTTTTGACTGTATATGAAATTAACCTTTCATCTAAATTAAAACATCGGTCTTAGATAGTTATTTACTATTCTATCTAAGATTACTTCCTTTCTTGCATTAGGGTTGCCTAAATTTATTTTGGCAGCACTGGCATCAACAATAGTTTGGTGATTTTTTACGGCCCTCAAAACCGAATAGTACCAAGAAAACGTATGAGGTTGTAGGGAGCACTAGTTCTGATTTATTTCAATATGCAAAAAATAAATAAACAAACAATTAAGGAAATAAGAGATACTTTGTCTTATTGCAAAACATTTTTGAAAGTGCATGAAAGCATCAACAGATTGAGACTAGAGTTCTAAGAAATGAGCTAAAAGAGAAAGTGTGGTTTGCAGTCTCAAGAGGAAAGTCACTCAAAATATTTGAATCCTGATAACTGAAGCTTTGAGAGAGAATAAGATTAAATGCATGGATATTTTAAGTAAGCTTAATGTTCCTGTAGTTTATATTTTTAAATTTGTCACTTAGTAAATATCTCTTCTTTTTGTCTCAATGGCTTTATATATATACATATATACATTAGTGTGCAAAACTTAAGGCCTTCAGACCACTAGCCAATTTTTCCCCCCTTTCTTTGCAGAGTCTAAGCATTAAAAAGAAGCAATTGTCAAAGTTATTTTTCTCCAAATCAACTGAGATTCTTGAATTTCACTTTCAAACCTCTGCTGGCTAGGGAATCTCAATGGGGCCTCTCAAAGCAATACATTGACTGCAGTTGTTGAGCCACAACCACAC